AGAGAGAACCAGTCTATTCATGCCATCGTCTTAGAGTCTATTTCAAATCTTACAATGATTTCTCCAACAATAGACTCCCTAAGCATGTTCAAGAATAACAACCCTATAGGTTGTCCCATGTAGATTTTCCTATCTAAATCACCATTCACAGAAACATGTTTAACAATCCATCTGACGCACAACACTAGCAATCAGAGCATATCTGGATGTTATTCTACATATGGTGAATAGATAACAAGAAAATTACAATTTTTCCTTTTCGCTTAAAGCCTTAGCTATTAGGCGATCCTTATACTCATAAACTAAATCAATAGGTTTCACTTTTCTTTTAAGAATCCATTTATTACCCATGACTTCATTGCCAAGAGATAATTCTCAAAGATGCCAAATCTTGTTCGATTCTATCGATATATTACCCAAGGCTTTTCAACCAAGAGGTAACTCTACAAGATTTTAAGTCTTATTAGACTCCAATAATTCCATTTCGTTAATAATGGATTCTCCCACAATTCTGCATCTTTATGGAAGTTCAAACTTCTAGCAGACTTGTAGGATCTTTCTTTCTTAGGGTGTAAATAACAAATTTATAACCAAAAACCTTAAGAGATTTCAGGTTCATTTGTTTCTTCTGAGTTTAAACTCAGATTTATTAACCCCACTAGTTTCATTATTTCTAATAGTAGGCAGGACACTACCCCCACTATTTCTTGACTTAAAATGGAAGTCTCTTGGCATTAATGGATTTCACAACAACATGAGTATTTAGTTTCATAGGAACTATGTATTTTTATTGTTAACAACATAAAACACACTCACATGCTCTTCTAGTTATCATGCTACACTGATTTTCTAACGCTACCACATGCATGCCACATATCGAATAATCAGTGCAATCATAATGCAATTAGGCATTTCAAACCATTTCAAATAACTAGTCAGACAATCAGAGCACTCTAAAGAGCAATAAATTGTTTATTGTCTTTTCCATCAAGTTTACCCACATAAATCAGATCTATTTATCCTGATTCTCTAATCACATATTTATGGGTCATTTAGCTTGGATATAGAAAATTCATATTTTTCTCAAGCATTCAATAATAATATGGGAATGCGATATAAGATAGACACACTTTGAAGAATTTATCGTATCTACTTAACCATTCCTTACATCTAGGATAGTCAATGACTTTCTAGAGTCAGGGTTCTCTTCCACTTTTCCAGAACCATCAACAATAGTGGTGAGGGTCTTGCCCAACAACACTTTCACCTTCAATACGCGTCAATGTATGATTGAGCTTAGCTCGTTTATCACACACATATCTTGAAGCGGTCCTATCCAACAACCATTCTTCAGAGTTACCATTAAGGCTAACCTCTGTCATCACCTCAGTGAATATTATTATCAAATCCTCTTCTTTATTCAAGTTAACACAATACTATGTTAAACTTGCTCTAACACTTTCGTGTCATATGACCTAGTTTTTCTCAAATTTAATTGAGAAACATAGCGTCATTCTTATAGAATTGTGTGACAATCTTATGGTTACCACGATGGGTACCATTCTAATTGGTGTAGATCTGGTTCGACTTGCTACTCTCATTCTTGAAACTTTAATGTTTCAGAGCAACCTTAGTGGTTCATTTAGTACTGACAAACAGTACTTCTTACAATATCGTCACTATGGGCAATTAACTCATTCTATTCCCATATATTCTTCATATATATGCATTTTTGATAAAATCATTCTATTCCAAATCATGTATTCAAATTCCATATTCTAATCGTTGATGTAACACATCTCAATGTCGACATAAACATGCATCAATTCTATTTTTACTTCATTGCATTCATATGATTTCTCAACACCGTGCATAGAACTCAAGTGAAATAGATTCCAGCTTATCATTCATCATAATGATTCATAAAAAGGTTTTGATTCTGACCTCGAGTCAATGCATTCTCTATTTCTCAATTTCCAAGCAATTCTTCTTTCATAGCTGCCACAAACCGAAGCAGCAGAATAAGCCAGTTCCAGCATTTTAGAAAAGCCGCACATCCACCACCTGGGTCCACCTTCCCTGCTCCATAATCACCGAGGCGGATATCTTCCATAGTTCCATATTTTCTGTTAATTTAGCCCGGTCAGAATGAGGGCCCAATCAATAATGAGCTCGGCGGGCCGGGAAAGGACTCCATTAGCTTCGAGGAAGTCTGAACCTAAATTAAGCCGCTCCCCTGTTCTTCTTCCCGCAACGATAGCAGCATCTACAAATACCTATAAGGCAATGTCAGAATATAAACTCTGCCACGTCAGCACTTCCTCGCCAACCCGCACAAAACGGAAGGTTCCATCCGTAATTTCATACCTCTTTCCTTTTATCCTTCGTGTTCCATCTTTCTCGCTCACTCTCCTCTTTTTAATAAAAAACCTCAGCCTCTCTATCTCTCGACTCTTGACCTCCGCCTCCAATCACTTCTACGGTGCTGCCAGGACCGGACTCGATAAACGTCGCTGCATGCAAATATGCAATCGAACCACGCTGTCATGAAGCTTTGAACTTTTTTTGCTTCTTGCCACTCTGCTCCATCTCTCCTGCGTCGATTTCCTCCTCTGCCCCTTTACTTTGTAGTTTTAAATCCCTTCTGAGAAGATTGTAAATTTGGCATGGATTGATTGAAGGAGATGGGATGCAAATCCCTAATCTGGAACTGATGTGCAAAATTGAAGAGTGAGAAAGAGAGAGAGAGAGAGAGAGAGGCAAAGGAAGAAGAATAAAAAAAAAAGTAAAAAGATATATTTTCCGGGAAAAGGTAGAATTTACTTGATAAAAATTAAAATATTTTTTTTTACAAAATAAAAGGAGATGTATAATTATGCTAATAAATGTGACGTAAATGCTTAATATGATAATTCAAAACCCAATAATAACATTGATATTTATCATTTTACTATCTGTTTTCTTCGCTATTCTTTTTTTTAAATGTTTCCTTCGCTAATCTTGGTCAAGATTTTAGGTAGGATAGAAATAAAAGATTAAGGTTTATCTCTCCATTGATCTTAATTTTGTTGTCTAATCCTTTTTTAGGACATGGACCATAATCATGATGGGAATGTCCTACACTGATTATTCAACAACGAAACCAAAAATGAAAAAAATGTACATATACCCGTTTCAAGTACGCATTAACAAGTTAAAACAATAAAACCGATTTGGTTACAATTTGAATGATTGACTATTACTCAATTGTCAAACTATTATATCTTTACCCTAATTGATTTCGTACATTAACGGAGGATATTTTGGTAGTCAGTATGCTTGATTCTTATATATAATTAATTATCCTCATATATACCCTTTATACTTGAGAAATGAGTTGTATATTTTAATTGTTCATTATGATTAAGTTATTTATTGGTATTATTCATAGCTTCAAATTAAATGAGATAACTTATATAGTATCTAAAATCATACCTAGATGAAAGGGGGAAAAATCGAAGAGCAATTTAAATTTGACCCCATTATGCATTAGGAGTATTTGGGGGGCTCGCTCGAGACTTCGTGAGAGTGTCTTCTGATGAGTTGGTGATGACAGAACAATTCGGATATGGCAAAGAGTACGAGTAGGATAAAACAATAATCCCAATATATACCATAGCTATCAAAAGAAAAATATATACAATAGCTATACAATACTCCACTCACAAACTACACCGCCCATCGGGCGGGCCGCTGATCTAGTATGCTTTAGAACTTTGCACCCCCAATGGCCGCACTCAATAATGGCACCCCAAGCCTCCCCTCGAATATAATTAAGCGAGACCAATCCAAAAACGTCTCATCCCGAGAGTATCCCCAGCCCTGGGCCCATCCAAAACGTTTTCCCCTCTCCATTCGAGAAGTTGCAGCGGCACACGATCTGGCTTTCCCTTATGATTATGGACAAAGCAATTAATTGTACTAGAATAATTAATTGGACAAGACAACAAATTAATTCGCACAAGAAAGAACTGAGGGCACAAATTGAGAGAACAATTAATTGATCAAAAGTTTCCCTTATGCTGCGTGCGTTTCCATCATGATATCCCGGTCCGTGGTTGTCTAAGAAAGTGAGCGACTACACTCATGCCAGCCAGATGCACTAACCTGCTCTCGGTTGATTTGACAGTAACATAACGTCTTAAAAATGTTAGGAACTGAACAATAACAAGAACGAGATTACCGAATCTGGAGCTGAGTCGCGGACTAGGTCGCTCTCTTTAAGACGTTCGCGGCACTGCCCTCGATGCGCACGGCAGACTATCAACCGGTCGTCTCCAGGATAAAACAGCTCCTCTGTGTACTCGCGGTTTTGTGCGAAAACCGGAGCTCTCTGAACACTCTCTCTATTGTGTTTATGCTTGTTGTGGTGTATTTAGAGGGGCTGGGGAGGCGGCTATTTATAGGAGCCGAACCCCTAGGAATATACCCTCTTGCTTGGGGAATAAGTCGGATTAATTAAGGAAGATAATTACTTCCTTAATTAAAACCGTCGATTAGGATAAATCCTGCGGGATTATCCTTCGAATATTCCTTTTTAATCGATTATCCCTAGAATATTCCTCAGAATAACCGATTTTAATAATTAATTATTAGATAATTAATTTCGTTTGGAATTTCTCCAAAAAGTATGTATATATAGTCTCAAGTGAACCAACCGACCGGTCAGTCAGACGGACGGCGCGCGTGTGTGTGGTGGTCCGTTAGGTCCTCCCTCTCCCACAAAAGTGGGTCACCTCAAGGGGCATGCCCTTAGGAGAGAGGCTCCTATCTTTACACACATTTCACCAAGTAAAACTACCAATGTGGTAGTTTTTCCACTTGAGACTCTATAGCTTTCAAAGCTATTCATACACATTTCCAACAGCAATCAGCAACCTCCGACGGAGTTGTTGTTTTGGAGCTCTCACCATATCCGCCAGATAGATGGCTTTTGGTACCAGGTGCCGCTTGCGGACCGCATGGCCGCCTTCCGGTCACGATTCGAGCCGAGAAGCGACGACATCCTCTTGACGACGTTCCGCAAAACAGGGAAGACATGGCTCAAGGCACTCTGCTACAACATTCTCGATAAAGAAGCAGAAGAACAGGACCTACTGGCAAAGAAGAACCCCACGAGGTGGTTCCCACACTCGACACCACTTTCCTCGAGGATCGAACACAAGACATCCTGCTCAGTTCCCCTCCTCCCCGGCTGCTCCACACGCACCTGCCCTACAGTTACCTGCCGGAGGCGGTGAGGGAGTCCGGATGCAAGATCGTGTACCTGGCTCCGAATCCCAAAGACACGGTGGTGTCGATGTGGCATTTCTACAACAAGGTGTTGAAAAGTGGACCGGGTGACGAGCCGTACCCGTTGGAGGGAGCGGTGGAGAGCTTCTGTAGTGGGGTTCTGCCTTTCGGGCCCTTTTACAAGCATGTGGTGGGATTTTGGGAGGAGAGCCGGAGGCGGCCTCAGGAGGTGTTGTTTCTCAAGTACGAGGAGCTATGCAGAGAGCCGAAGGAGCAGGTCATGAAGCTAGCTTTGTTTCTCGGGAAGCCATTTTCCCAGCTCATGGATGGAGATGGTGAGCTGGAGAAGGTACTGTGGCGGAGCAGCTGCCTGGACAGGCTCAAGGAGTTTGAGGTTAACAAGAGTGGCGTCGGGGAGCTGAACCATGTGCTCAATTCCACCTTCTTCAGGAGAGGAACTGTACGAGATTGGGAGAATTACTTGACTCCACAAATGGCTCAGCGCATTGACCAGCTCACGCAGTTCAAGTTGCAGGGGACTGGACTTTCTCTCGATGATTAATTGCTAGATTAGTTGATGCGTTTTTTAATACTTTTTTCGTTTCAGAGTTTCTACTTGCCAATATACATCATAATATATGTAAACCTTGTTTTGTGTGTAACTCCAGATTTTTTATGTGAAAGCTTTAAATGCAAATATTTCCAAATGTGAATTTACACACATTTCCAAGCGTTGACCTTGACATAATTAAATACTCTGTATCTTGATCTTGATAATCTGCAGCCCAGGTAGGCCAATAATAAATGCAACCTTTGCATTTACTTAATACAACTAGCTAGATTACTACATTCATGATAAAGAAAAATATTTTCATGTTGTGGAGTTTCTTCGTTGTTTTTAGGGTAATGTCTATTTATTATCTAAACATTTTTCATATTGGTTTTAGTCAAATCTATTGAAATACTAAGAATTAACCAAACATTTTGTAACACGTCAAAGTATTAGCCATTTTTACATTATCGTTAATAATTATGTAACTCTTTTCTTAGTTGAAATACTAATTTTTTTGAATGTTGACCTCCATGTATCTCTTCTAAGTTAGTATCATGTTGCCAAGTCAATATTACTAAAAAAATTGATAACTAGATGTTAACATTTGGCTAATTATTAGTAATTCAATAGTTTTGACTAATAAAAAAAATCTGAAAAATGTTTTACTAATAAATAGTCATTACCTTGGTTTTTATTATAAGTGCATGGGGCTAAATTTTGATTAACAGGGAGGAAATGTAAATACGATAACTCAATGAATTAGTACAGATTTGCAAAAAGATATGTTCTTTGTGGTTAAGTCTTTTACTATTTGTCGTCAACTTTAAAAATATATTACTAAATTAATTTTATTTTAGTACGGCTACGGTGAAGAAGTTTTTCATAACTTAACACGTACACATCCAACTCTCCCAAATTTCATGAATAAAAAATGGCATTCACCTCAAAACTCGCCAGGAAGAAAAAGTGTATAGGTTGATAGACCATTGGGCCGGAAAAAAAAAGCATCCATGGAGCGAGGTTCATGGAGGCTCCTACTCGACAACAAATGTTGGCTGCAAAGAGGGTGTTAAGGTATCTTAAAGGAATTATGAGCTATGACCAGCGGCGGATCCAGAACACAGAAGAACACTGGGCCGCATTTTATTAGAAAACTAGAACTATAAAAAATTAATGATTATAATTTTTTTACACTGTAAATTGTACACGAGGGTATCTTAATTTAGCAAATGCATCAATAATGTAGTCCATATCCATACCAATAGTATACACTGTCCCAAATAAAATACTTGAGCAATTGGCAAGAAATTCATCGCTCATTTATTGTGCAAATTAGTTTTACATGTTTCTTTGTTCAAAAGGTTCTCTCAGGTTCTCTCTGTAGTAGTTGTTGAAACGAGCAGCGTCAACACTAGACAAATAAATATCAATTTGCGTTATGTGTCCATCCCTATACCACCAGTTGTCTAGTCAATTTTCAAGGTAACAAACCTCATATTTCTTTTAGCCTATTATGTTTTAAAATTTTAGGTTTCATTGTTATTTTAGACAAAAAAATCTTTGGGGCTAGAATTTCTCTAGGCTAAATTTAGAGTAGTGATTTGAATATGTTTATCTAAATCAATTTGCTAATTATATTCAATTTTATTATAAAATAACATTGGGCCAAATACCTAAATCGAATAATTCATAAGACCTATACTAACTATGGATCCAGAGGAGCGCTGGGCCGGGGCCCGGGGTGGCCACCCCCTGTATCCGCCACCGGCTATGACATCTGGTATGGGTACACAGACCTTGATTACGCTGGGGAATCTGATGACATGAAGAGTACAAGCGGTTATATTTTCTTTCTTGCTAGAGGAGCCAGAGGAGCCATCTTATGATCGCCAAAAAAGCAACCAATAGTGACTTTTTCAACTACAGAAGCAGAAATTTGTGGATGCTTCATATTTTGCAACTCAGTGTCGATTCGGCTTTGCAGGATTCTTGATCAAATGGACTAGAAGCAATGTGTAGAAGGGACTAGGGGTGGCTATATGGTCCGGTCCGTTAAATTGGCTCAAATTGATCTGGTCCAGTCCGGTCTTTTTGAAAATATAAGGACCAAAGATTGGATTGGATACAGTCCGGTCTTGATCCGGTCCGGTCTTGACCCAGTTCGGTCCCAATTCGGTCTTAATTTTATATTGAGCTTGTGGGGATTCGATTGGCCTAAGGCCTGAAAGGATGAGGAGTTGGTTAAGTTTTGTACTAATTGCAAAGGTTTGTGACCGTTTATGCAAATTACCCTTAAGTTTTGGGTGTTGAGCTCTCTTATCCGGTCTTTATCCAGTTTTCGATCCGGTCCTGAACGGTTTTTTACCTCAAATCTAAGCCCAAAGATTGGATTGGATTGTTTACTATCCGGTCCCGGTCCGGTCTTGGTCCGAATTATACGATCCGGTTTCAAGTAAAACCAAAAAACCCGGACCAAATAGCCAGCCCTAGAAGGGACTACTCATATCATGTGTGATAATATATGAACAATTAAACTGCCTAAGAACCATGTGATGCATATGGGATGAGTTATCATATCGATGTGTGTTTTCATTTCTTGAGGGATCTTGCCAAAGGAGGAGTTATTGAGCTAGAACACTATGGAACCCATGATCAGATAGCTGATATAATGGCCAAGCCTCTGAAATAGGATTGAAGGTCAATGGTTGGTTGTTAGTTTAGCTACTTTGTAAGTTAGTGGAGTTAAGGATGTTGCTTAAATGTCGAGATTAGTGGGCAGAAATCATGTACTTAAAATCTGGCGTATCTTGCCAATAAAATTTGACAGTTTGCACAACGTTCTTGCTCATTAATATATACCAATCCGACGCTTTGCTGATTCACGTATGCACTGTCCTCATTATTACTTCACTCAATGATCATATACGATTGTTATTTTTTTCGTACAATTATTGAGGTTTCCAAGAAGTCAGTCAAAAAAAGGATCCCAAAAGATTCTATTACTAAATAGAGCACGTGAACGAGCCTGGAAGTTGTCACCTTTTATATATAGGTACGTAGAACTAAACTATATGTACTTAGCTTCTTTTCTCAAACCATACACGTCTTTTCCTACTGCCCTAATCCGATGAGCAATCGGCAATCTCCGACGGAGTTGTTGTTTTGGAACTCTCACCAGATCCGCCAGATAGATGGCCACTGGTACCAGGTACCAGCCGTGGACCGCATGGCCGCCTTTAGGTCGCGATTCGAGTCGAGAAACGACGACATCCTCCTGACAACCTTCCGCAAAACAGGGACGACGTGGCTCAAGGCTCTCTGCTACAGCATCCTCCACAGAGAAGCAGAAGAAGACCTTCTGGCGAAGAAGAACCCCCACGAAGTGGTCCCCACTCTGGAGAATACGTTCCTCGAAGAACGAGTCCAAGATATGCTGCTGAGTTCCCCTCCCACCGGCCGGCTGCTCCACAGTCACCTGCCTTACAGTTACCTGCCGGAGACGGTGAGGGAGTCCGGGTGCAGGATCGTGTACCTGGCTCGGAACCCGAAGGACACGGTGGTGTCGATGTGGCATTTCTACAACAAGCGCTACAAGAGCGGACAGGGCGACGAGCAGTTCCCGCTGGAGGGAGCGGTGGAGAGCTTCTGCAGCGGGGTCCTGCCTTTCGGGCCCTTTTACGAGCATGTGGTGGGATATTCGGAGGAGAGCAGGAGGCGGCCTCAGGAGGTGTTGTTTCTCAAGTACGAGGAGCTCTGCAGAGAGCCGAAGGAGCAGGTCAGGAAGCTAGCTTCGTTTCTCAGGAAGCCATTTTCTCTCGACGGAGATGAAGAGGTGGAGAAGGTGTTGTGGCGGAGCAGCTTGGATAGGTTGAAAGAGCTGGAGGTTAACAAGAGTGGTGTCGGGGAGTTGAACCATATGCTCAATTCCACCTACTTCAGGAGAGGAACCGTGGGGGATTGGGAGAATTACTTGACTCCACAAATGGCGCAGCGTATTGACCAGCTCACACAGTCTAAGTTGCAGGGAAGTGGGCTTTCTCTTGATGATTAATTGTTGGACTAATTAGTTGATGTGGTTTTCTGCTACTTTCTTTTTCGCTTCAATTTGGTGTTGTCTTTATGTCTTCTGGTTCCGACGATTTCATATTTCTTATCAAAAAGAAGAAGAAAAAAGTTTTCTTTTTTATGATTCAGAAGGAAGAAGGTAGATGACGGTGTGTTGATGTCTATGTAATTGTGCATGCACGACTCTCAAGTCCCTTTTAATGAATAAGTTCGCATTATGACACCGTATTACATAGAATAAATGTTGACAAGTTTTTTTTCCATGCAAACCATTAAAATTTTATTAAAAATGAAAAGCGAAATGGTCCCAAAGTTGCACAAGAAGTCAAGAACCGCAAATATGTAAAATCGCTATTCGTCGCCTAAAAATTCAAAAAACATCCCCTAAACCACACTAAATTGACACATCTACCCCTAATCAATTCTAACGTAAACCCTAGCCAACAATCTCTCCCCCTAACCCCAAGGCCCAAACCCGTTACATTGGGCAAAGCCGCCGCACCAAAACTGCTCCCCACTGCTCACGCCGGAAAGAAGGAAACATAATTAGAGAATTGAGTCTAGTCTCACTTGATTTCTTAGTTCCACAATGCGAGGTTCCTTGTCCAAATTTTCTCCCGATCATCAATGAATGGACATTATTAGCATTCCCCTGGTTCATTAGGAAGTCAGAAGAGAATTCTTGTTAGACATCCAGGCCACTCACTTGCAAGCTGCAAGGTCTCCTTGCGAAGTTCATCTCGTATCTAGTCAGTTGAGGAGGAATTGTTAGAAAGGAGGTCAAGAACTGTAAGATTATGAACAATGTGGTAAGATGTAACTGAAAGATCCACTCTTAGTTAATTCATGCAATATCACAAGCTCATACTTGCCCTTTGCAAAGTTGGTACTTCATTTTTGGATTCATTTTTGGATCACAGTGAAGCAAGATCAGACAATGGGCCATTTTGGCTTACATGACATGACTAAAATTGATATTAATTTTTTCCAGTGACTAAACATGTCACGTTTTAGTAAACCCAGTGATCAAACTTGACATTTACCCTTAATTTTTCCCAAAAAATTAGATATGAAACTACTGGAAAGACAAAAGTCATATGGGAGTTGATAGCAATGCCTAAAGAAGAGGGTGAATTTGGCTTGAAAGATCTATACACTTGAGTATTGCTTGTGCAGTCAGAATGATATGGATGTTGATAATGGAAGGTGGATCCTTGTGGGTGGCCATGGACTATGAGAGATAGACCAAAGAGCAGAACAATTTGGGAGATTTCTGAGATTCAAGTGGGGTCTTGTTTATGGAGAAAGTTTCTACATCTTAGAGATCATTGTTCCAATACAGGCTTCAAGCTGATAACAACAATATGGTTAGCTTGGAAGGGAAGACACAATTATAAGTACAGGTTGTTCGAACCTGTCTTATAATTAGGGCTGGCTATTTGGTCCGAACTGTTTGGTTTTACCCCAAACCGGACCGTATAATCCGGACCGAGATTGGATAACCAACAATCCAATCTCATATTCAGGCTTAGATTTGAGGTAAAAAATCGTTTGGGACCGGATCAAAAACCGGATAAAGACCGGATAAGAGACCCCAACACTCAAAACTTAACCAACTCCTCACCCTTTGAGGCCTCAAGCCACTCAAATCCCACAAGTTCAATCTAAAATCAAGACCAAATTTGGGACCGGACCGGGTCAAGACCGAACCGGATCACGGCCAGACTGTATCCAATCCAATCTTTGGTCCTTATATTCCCGCCCCGCACCAAACGTGGTCAGTGACAACTTGGTTGGTTGAGTGTATAACAAGGATGGCAGCTCGGGGTAATGCCAAACGCTCTGGAACCACTAACCACTCCGGTGAGTGCATAGCAACTAACAATTGCAATGGCTAGCAACAACCTGCTGTATAACAAACATTTTGGAACCATTGACCGCTAGTTAATGTAAGAAGTCACTGTTACAATGGCCAATGACAACTTGGTGTTTAACAAAAGTTTTGGAACCACTGACATCATGGTTGAGGGTAAGGACTCACAATCACAATGCTCCAATGTCAACCGGTGTATAACAAAGGATTTGGTCACAAATTAGTTGATCAGTGGCGGTCTGGCGGATACATAAATTTTATATAGGGGTGTCTTCTTTTAAAAATTAAAAATTAAGTTAAATTAATTATTAAATAATTATTGAATAAGAAAATATCTGATTTGTCCAAAGTACAACAAAGCACATGACGGATTTCGTACCTTGGAAAAATTGTAAAATACAATCGGTGTCTAACAATGCTTTATAAATCTCTCTCGATATATTCTACTCGGCTTGGGGAGCCCGTAATTGAGTTTAATTGTTAGCTTTTGAAAATAATTGGGATAAAAAATAGCTTTTTACTATTATATTTGGATTTGAAATACAAGAACAAATGAGTTGTAGTCTAATGAAAAATATGTTTACTAATAGTAGCATCGATCCAAGTTTAAATTACATAGCAACCACTTAAATGTTAAATTACCCATACACAAACTACTATTAGGGGATTATAATCGTTTTTCCAAATTTTAGTACTGTCCCGCTACCACTTAAATATTTTTTTTTACCTATATGCAAACTACTAGCGGGAGTTGAATAATCGTGTTCCCAAATTTTAGTGGTATCCCGAGATACCCCTAAAGGCCCATGGATCCGCCACTAAAGTTGACCACTTGCTACTATATAGCGCTGATAGGGCTGTGGAATAAGCACAGCAGTATTTTGTCTCTTCAAATTGTAGTACAGTTGTGTTTATTGCCTTGTTTTGACTGCGATGAATAATATGCCAAAGGAGTTGTTTTGGAACTCACACGAGATCGGACAGATAGAAGGCTTCTGGTATTTCGTTGCGGCAATGGATGGCACCGCCGCATTCAGGGTCCGGATTCGAGCCGAGAAACGACGACATTCTCTTGATCAAATCCTTCACCAAAACCGGAACCACCTGGCTCAAGGCTGTCTGCTACAACATCCTCGACAAAGAAGTAGGAGAAGACCTTCTGGCAGAGAAGAACCCACACGAAGTGGTTCCCACCCTCGGAAACACTTTCCTCAAAGACCAAATCCAACGCATGTTGCTCAGTTGTTCGTCTCCTCGATTGCTCCACACTCATTTGCCTTACAGTTACTTACCGGAGGCGGTGAGGGAGTCCGGATGCAAGTTCGTGTACGTGGCTCGTAACCCGAAGGACACTGTGGTGTCGATGTGGCATTTCTACAACAAGCTGTTCACCCGTGGTGGTTCTGAGTCGTTCCCCCTCGAGCGAGCGGTGGAGAGCTTCTGCAGCGGGGTTGTGCCTTTCGGGCCTTTTTACGAGCACGTGGTGGGATACTGGGAAGAGAGCCGGAGACGACCCGAGGAGGTGTTGTTTCTCAAGTATGAGGATCTGTGCAGGGAGCCCAAAGAGCAGGTCAGGAAGCTCGCTTCGTTTATGGGGAAGCCGTTTTCCTCGATGTCGACGGCGGGTGGTGATGATGATGAGGTGGTGGTGGAGAAAGTGTTGTGGCGTAGCAGTTTGGTAGGCTAAAGGAGTTGGAGGTTAACAAGAATGGTGTACTGGAGCTAGTCCGAGTACCAAATGCCCACTTCTTCAGGAAAGGAACCGCGGGGGAATGAAAGAACTACTTGACTCCTCGTCCTCGGATGACTGAGCGCATTGATCAACTCACGCAATTCAAGTTGCAAGGAACCGGACTTTCTCTTGATTAATTGATTTTATTTCGTACCACCAGCCTTTTTCTTTCTTCTGCTTCAATTTGGTGATACTTTTATGTTCCCATTTCATCTCTTAATAAAAGTAAAGAAAGTAACTTCGCTTTCTCATCGGACAACACATGATACTTTCATGTAGGACTGGCAATACATTCCTGTTTTTCGGCTAAATCCAAAATCAGATTGTTTAAACCAGTTCACTTCACTACAACAAAAATTACCTTTTATGACGAAAGTGAAAGGTCTCTAAATGTCAAATTGGTCGTAAAACCTATGTTGTGACTAAACAAATTTGGTTGAACCCTTGGTCACATTCGCCCCATTAGGAAAACCAATTTCTGACAAAAATTTTGATTTGGTCCCAATATATGACCATTTTGTAACGAAATGACAAATTGGCCACAAAATAAATATTTTTGCAACCAAATTCATTGGTTATAACAACTCATTCGGAAAGGTCACGAAGAAGTACCTGATTGATCACAAATATTATAAAAATTAACCAATTCAAATGATTAAGTCACAAAAACCATTATTTAAAACCAAAATTTAGTTACAAATTATTCTTTATAACTAATGTAATCAACCTTAAGTAACCAAAAATTTTGGTTGTGAAACTCTTATCCTAACTAATATTTTATGGTCATCACAATCATTTTTGGTTTGGAAAGTATATAATGTAACCAATCAATTGTCCAAAAAAACTCATTTTTATTGGTCACAAAAAATATTTCCAACCAACATTTTGTGGTAATCTTTTATGCAACTAATATATAAATTTTAGAGTAACCAAAAATCGGGTTACGATTGCATCCAATCTGGTCCAATCTCCGATAGTCATGTCAAGGAGAAATGAGAAGTTCTTATTCATTGAAGGCAAGGTGACACAAAACTAATTTAGTTATGTGATTTTAATTTATGTCTAACCAAATAATTTAAAATGAAAAGTTCTTATTCATTGAAGGAGGTGACACAAAAAGTCGTGGACTTATACAAAATCAAATCGAGTTTGAACCTTTGTTGATTAAATTGTTATTGGTAATGGTTTATCACCAATAACAATTTAATCAATACTAGCAAGGCTGGAAGTTTGGTACCGGTATTTGGGATATACCAAATATCGTACCGAATTTGTTTATATTTGGTATTACCGAATACACGTATTATTTTCTGGGACTGTGATTGTGATTGAATTTCAATTCTTATTCGGTATTAGAGATTACGGGATTGGGATCGGTATATACCGAAATACCGATCAATACCGAAATATAAGCTAGTGCATATTTTATCCTCTCAACTAGACTCTCTCATTCACTACTACACGACCCCCAACCACCAAGAGTGTCATTTAGTTATACATAGATCATTTCATCACTATAAATAGTCGTCTCTCTACCTCCAATTCGTCAAATTAACGATTACCAATGACAAGAACTTGAGATATCTCCTCTCCTCCATTCTCGTTAATAATATCCTAATTCAAGACTCTTTGTTTAGTCTTTTCTCCCTAAATTAAACAATAAAATCTCATTTATATATTTAATTATTAATTGCAAAGGTAATTAATTTTGTATTCGATAATACCGATTGGGATACCGAAGTACCGATTGGGATACCGAAGTACCGATTGGGATACCAAAATATTTAGGGATTGGGATTGGGATACCGAAATTATATAGGGATTGGGATTGTGATTGATTTTAGGGGGTAATTCGGCATTCGGTATTTCAGTATTTGATATTGGGATACGATACCACACCGATTTCCCCCTCTAAATACTAGTACAAATTAAACTAATATTAGACTATTGGTACATACTACTAGGGTTGGCTATTCGGTCCAGACTTTTTGGTTTTACCCGAAATCGGACCGGGACCGGATAACAAACAATCCAATCCAATGTTCGGGCCTAGATTTGAGGTAAAAAACCGTTTGGGACTGGACCAAAAACCATATAAAGACCGGATAAGAGAGCCCAACACCCAAAATTTAACCTCGTCACCCTTTCGGGCCTTAGGCCACTCAAACCCCCCCTCAGGCCACTCAATTTCCCACAGGGTCAATCTAAAATCAAGACCAAATTAGGACCAGACCGGTTCAAAATCGAAGCAGATCAAGACCGGACTTTATCCAATCCAATCTTTGGTCCTTATATTCGTGAAAAGACCGGATCGGAACCGGATCAATTCGGGCCAATTTAACCGGACCGGACCGTATAGCCACCGGCAACCCTACATACTACCCAATTTTTATACCCTTTTATTATTGCAAGTTAACAAATTTACCCTTCTATAATTTTTTGGCTAAATTACACGTTTGATCACTCAAATTATACAAATCTTTCACGTTTGCCACCCGAATTACTTTTCTTTCTTATTTGCCACTAACTTTACGAATCGTTTCACCATTAGCACCGGCCGTTACACTCCGTTAAATTTGTCCTACGTGGCAGTCAACTATAAAGTTTGACCGTTAACTTGATGACGTGGAAATTAAAAATAATTAAAAATAAAATTATTTTTCCACCTCATCATTCCACTTACTTTGTCTATGATTAATTATATTAATTATTTAATAAAAATTACTGAATTTTTATATGAATTACAAAATTAATTATCAGTGGAAGGAAGAAATTTATATAATCAACCAGTGCAATAGGATCAGAAATTATCCTGTATCCCCATAGCCTTTTAAATTAGTTCGTGATACATAACTTAAACAGAAGAACAAGTCCACCCCTGAAAAATCCTATACCAAATCTCATAGTTCGCCGACTTCTGCACCTTGCTCTCGAACCGCAGCCTGGCTCCGTCGATGCCGTAGTTCAGATGGTGAGCACGTTCAGCCCATCGAGCTGCGCGTAGAAGTAGCTGTGCTCGTCATCCTGGTAGCTCCGGTCAGCCTGGAAATCATCGATGTCGGGATGGAAGCTTCGATAAGAACTGCAGGTCGTTGAAGAAGCTGTCTTGTGGATCTTGCAACTTCGACGCCAAAGGTATGAACGCCATCCTTAACAACTGTGCATCTCTGGAAGAACTGCGCGTGAAGCGGTTCCACAGAAGAACCCAGAAGTGGAGAAAAGTGCTGGATGGGAACCCGAAGAACCCAGCAGCGGCGGCGCCGGGAGGGACCGTCGTGCTCCGATTTTCGATGAAGAAACTAGATGAGAGGGTAAGGATTTCGATGGCGCTGACGAACGCCATGGCAGACGAATCGGAGGAGTGGGGAAGGAGTTCGATTGCCTTCCTCTTTCCTCTTAGTACGAAACCCTGATTTCAACATCCATTTATATATCTCAACCTAGAAAATCAATCCAATCCACAAAAATGAAAAATCAACTCAATCTCTGATTCACCGAAGCTCTAATCAAACAGATAACAGGAACGATGAATTCGGACATGGAAGAAATTCAAGAACAAAATTAACACAAACTTGAGTGCCCCATTGACCTTTAACGCAAGCTTCAACGGAGATTTTTTCATCACGACTGCGCATCAGCTCTTTCAAGCCATTAATCTCCACTTCACCAGAACCAGCAACCATAGTGGTGTGAGTAGTCCCCAACAACACTTTCTAGTCAGCAGGTGCTTCTGTGTATGTTTTAAACATAGCACGATTGTTGCAAACATGCTTCGATGCACCTGTATCCAGCCACCATCCTTCTGAGTCACCGGTGAGGTTAACTTCAGCGATCATATATGTGATCATGGCTATCAAATCCTCTTCTGTCAAGTTAACCCTGGCCGCAGCGGCGGGGTTTTGCTTGTTCCTGCACTTTTTTGCCATATGACCCGGTTTTCCGCAGTTATAGCAGATAAACGGTGGGTCATTCTTAGAGGTTTGGGCCATGACCCTTTGGTTACCTCGAGAGGCACCATTATGGTGGGGGCGGATCTGCTAGTTCTTACTCTTAAACCCTTTCTGGTTAGGTTTAAGAGCTCTAGGGATGGGTCGTTTAGCAGTGACGACCATCACCTCTTCTTTCATATCCTGCTTGCGAGACTCTTCCTCAATCCTTAGGCGAGTAATCAAGCTTTCCAGTGAAAATTCTTTGGTTTTATGTCTAAGCATATTCTTAAAAATTTTCCACGAAGGGGGCAGCTTATCAATAATGCAAGCAATTTGAAATTGATCGTCTAGAGGCATACCTTCAGAGACGATCTCATGAGCTATTTTCTGAAGTTCGTGGGACTGAACTTCGACAGACTTGTCATCCACCATCTGGTAGCGCAGGTAGCGGCTGACAGCATACTTCTTAGCTCCAGCCTCCTCCGTGTCGTACTTTTTTTGGAGCGCATCCCAGATCATCATTGTGGTGTTCTTGCTGTCTGCATAGTATTCATAGAGATCGTCTGCCAGGCCGTTGAGGATGTAGTTCTTGCATAGGAAGTCATGCTCCCTTTCCTTAGCAGAAGCAGCCCTCTCCTCATCGGTCGCTTCTTCCGGCAGCTCGACGGGCATGCTAGTGAGACAGTGTGCCAACTTCTTGGTCGTTAGGTAGAACTCCATCTTTTGTCTCCAACGACGGAAGTTGACTCCAACGAAGCAAAGGGGTCGATTGATATCGACAGCACCAGATCTAGCCATGTTGTTCTGTTCAGTCGACATAGCAGCAGCCGAACGTCTTAAAATTTTTAGGAACGGAACAACAACAAGAACGAGGTTAGCGAATCTGGAGCTGAGTCGCGGACTAGGTCGCTCTCTTTAAGTCGTTCGCGACACTGCCCTCGATGCGCACGACAGACTATCAACCGGTCGTCTCCAGGATAAATCAACTCCTCTGTGTACTCGCGGTTTTGTGCGAAAACTGGAGCT